TGTATATTTGTGTTCATTTCAGAGAGGAAGGGAAAGGAAGAGAGAGAAACATCAGTGATGAGAGAAATCATTGATCAGCTGCCTCCTGAATAGCCCCTATTGGGAATCAAACCTGAAACCCATGTGCCCTGATTGGGAATTGAACCATCACTTCTTGGTGCATAGGTCATTGCTCAACAACTGAGCCACACCAGCCAAGCAATTTTTCTTTTTAAAGTACTTTAAGGGGCATTAGGGGATGATTTATGTGGAAAGGGCTATGAGGGAAACTACTTGGATGCTGGGTGGTACTTATGCCAATATGTTCAGATGTAAAATTTTATCAAATTAAAATTTTAATTTTAATTAAAAGAAAGAAAATAAAACAATCCATTTGAAATTTTTTTAAATGTGACATTTACAGTAGCATAAAAAAATGTTAAGTACTGAAAAAGAAATCTGGCACAGAATTGCAAAATGTATACGTTGAGACTTACAAAACATTGATTAGAGAAATTAAAGAACACTTAAATGGAAAGACACTTTATGTTCATGAGTCCAAAGACCAACTCATGTTCATTCTTCCCAAATTGGTTTATAGATTCAACATGATCCTACTCAAAATTGAGTTTTTTTTCATTGTAGAAGTTGAAAAAAAACAGGTTCTGAAATTCAAATGAAAATTCCAAAATTTTAGAATAGCCAAATCAATGCTCTGGTTTCTCTTCAGACCGCATAAATCTTTCGCCTTTTACTAGAATAGCCAAATCAACTTTGTAAAAGAACAAATTTAGGTAACTAACACTACCTGATTTCAACACATCAACCTTCTGTATTGGAACAAAGATAGGCAAATCAATAGAACAGAGTCCATAAATAGACCCATACATGTAAGGACAACTGATTTTCAACAAAAGTCCAAAGGTAATTCCAGGTAGGAAGGATGCTCTTTTTAGACTTTTGGATATACAAAAGTAAGAAAGTGAACTTCAACCATGCCCTGCACCATACAAAAATTAACTCAAAATGGATCTTGGATCTAAATGTAAAACTCAAAACTATAAAACTTCTGGAGGAAAGAAAATTGCTGTGACTTTCGATTAAGTAAAGATTTCATAGACATGATACCAAAAGCCAAGTCTTTGATGATCATAAAAGAAGTTGATAAATTAGAATTTATCAAAATTTTAAAAGTTTTTGTACTTTGAAAATATTTGCAAATCACATCTGACGAAGAGTTTGTGTATCAGAGTGAAATGCTTGGTCTCTCTAAGCCCATCTTATTTAAGTTCCCCTGACCTTCAGGCTAACAGCTTCTGCTTTAGACTTGATAATCATTAGAGGAATTCTGCTTGGGGCTTGAGTTTTTACAAGAGCTCTCCTATTTCCCCTTCCCTCAACATAAAAGGAGCTTGGACTCTGTACTTTCTTAATATGGTTTTGAGGACTAGATGTCCCATCTTCTTGGTTGGTGCCTACATGATCAAGAAACCTCTCCTTATTCCAAATTGATGTTTTGAGTTTTAGCTTTTTGAAGTGTCAGGCACACAACTTAGAACCTGTATCCTGGATTTATAGACTTCTCAAAACTCAGTAATAAAAAAAACTACAGAATTTTTAGATGGGGAAAAAAATTAATAGTCAAAGAAGATATATGGATCAGAAAAGAAATACATGAAAAGGAACTCAAAATCACTAGTCATTAGATAAATGCAAATTAAGATTGACATGTTGGAGATATAAGGAGCAACTGGAATAAGCATGCACTCCTGTGGGAATGTAAAATTATCTATCATGACACAGCCAGACCACTCCTAGGTATTACCTAAGACATATGAAAATACATGTTCATATAAAGATTTGTACAGAAATATTTATAGCAGCTTTAATAGCTGAAAATGAGAAACAATCGAAATATCCCATCAAGTGAATAGAAAAACACAGTACATCCATGTAATGGGAAATTACTCAGCAATAAAAGGAATTATGTACACAACATGGGCGAATATCAAAATAATTATAAAGCCAGATAAAAATAGTACATACTGCCCTGACTGTTTGGCTCAGTAGATAGAGCATTGGCTTATAGACTAAAGGGTTCCAGGTTGATACCTGTCAGTGTTATGTACCTTGGTTGTGGGCACATCCCCAGTAGGGGGTGTGTAGGAGACAGCTGATAGATATTTCTCTTTCATCGATGTTTCTAACTCTCTATCCTTCTCCCTTCCTCTCTGTAAAAAAAAAAAAAAATCGATAAAATATATTTTTTTAAAATAGTACATACTAAGACATAGTAACAGAGAGCAGATCAGTGGTTGTCTGAGGGGTGGAATGGGCCAAGAACAGGGAAGAATAGCAAGAAGGGAGTGGTTAAAAGGGCCACAAGGAAACTTTTAGGGTAAGACTCACTAAATATATGGATAGCTTCTCTGCTTCAGTATAGTGATTTCATGAGTTTGTACACTTTAAATATGTGTAGTTTATTTTATGTCAATTTTTAAAACAAGTTTAATGTTGAGTAAAAGTTGATAAGCATATAGATAGTATTTAGCAATATGAGAACATGAACATGAAAATAGGCAAATAGAATATACCTAAGAAAAGAATAACATGCTAATTGACCATACCTTTGTGACACCCACCAGCCAATTAGGAGTATGCAAATCAACTCAACAAAGATGGTGGGTTAACTGCATATGCAGGTGCCAAGGAGCCCGGGGCAGGTGGGACACAGGCTTTCCACACTGCCCCAGCCACTCTGGGCCACTGGGTGTGGAAAGGCAGAAAGGTGGCTCTGGGCTGGAGCAGAAAGGCTGCTCTAGCCAGAGCGAAGGCAGTGCCAGCAGCCAGGGGAGGGAAGGCCCATTCTTGCATGAATCTTCATGCATGGGACCTCTAGTCCTATATAATAAAAGGCTAAAATGCAAATTATCTCCTCAACCAGAGTTCAACCAGAAGGTGGGGCCAGCCAGCCAACCTCCTATGTCCCCTCATTAAAGATGAAAAGCATGCAAATTTATTTAATACAAGTTTTATGTGACATGAGAGCCTTCATAAGGAAATGAAGACTCAAAGAAATGGGTTAGCATGAGTGTTTTTTATACTAAGTTTGATGAAGAGTGGACAATTGTAGGGAAAAAGAAGAAAGGGGCATGAGCAAAGGGTAGTAAACTGGGGAAACTCAGAAAGGTTTGTTCATTGAGGTCCTTCTCAGCATCTCTCCATCTTCAGAGATAAGAATGCACCTTTGCAAATGATATTTGGGAAGAATACTAACTGGCATGAGAAAATCCTTAAGTGAAATTAACTTCTTTATATAGAGGTATAGGACTAAAATTGTAATTTTCCTACATTTTCTGTTTTTTGTATTCTGTTAATCAATTAACGTCTAATTTCTACCTAGAAATTAAGAAACTTGTTTTTAAAATTATGTTGAATATTATTGCTGAGAACATTTTATTGTTTTCTAATTTCTAGAGCTTTGTAATCCATTGTGTGATGTCTCAAAATGCCACTTGGCATGGCTGAAAGGAAAAATGAGAGGATGACATTCTGCAATTCTGACTAATGGAGTTTATTACATAAGCATTTACTAACACTATAAATACTAGCAACATTTTCTGTATACTGTTCTAAAGAAACTTTTGCTTGAAAGCATGAGAATTTTTATATGATTTATTTAATAATAAACCAATTGCAGATACAAAAATGTTGAGAGGATTTCAAAATTTAAATTTTTGTTTAAATACAAAGTCACTCTGTAATATGAAAACATATAACATTAGACCTCTAAAGAAAATTTTTTCATCTACAAAAATTTATCTTTCCTATACTAGAAAATATGCAGAAAACAATTTTTCTTGTGAAATGTACATTATTTACAGTTGAAAAGTAATCTGAAATTTATTTCAGAAACATGGTTATACATATATATATATATTATCTTTGTATGCAATTCCCCCCTGATCATTTTTTAAAAATCCAAATTATAAATCAATTGTGCTTTTATAGCAACTGACCATTCAAGCAGATTAACCCAAGGCTTGGATGTTTTCTGAGCCTTTGAGAAAGAGTCTAGACTCTCAGAACAGCAGTGTATTAGCAATGCATGTTTACTAACGGGCCACAGTGCACAGAGGCCTAAAGAATTAATGAAGAATTCAGTTTCATAGCAACCTTACAGATAGTAGAAATTTTAATATGTAGGGCCACTTATTTTTCTGCAATATTTTTGCTATACTTACATTAGGAAATAAGCTGATGTTTTAATTGATATAATTCTAAAATATAGGATTGGAATAATAAACTTAGAACTATAAAGGAAATTGAAGATCATCTAGTCTAAGCCAAATGTATTCCTTACTTTCATGAGAGAACTGAAGCCCAGAAAGAACAGTGGCTTGCCCAAGGTTACAAAAGTAGTTAGGAGGCCACTCTTAGATTGCTGCTTTCATACTACCCTGCTTCTAAAACAGGTTCAGCCATCATCATGGGCATATTTCAATTTTAATGTTATATTTTACATTCATATTTCAATATACTGTTCATCCAACTAAAAGTCAATCTAATTAAATCATAATTTTAACAAAGTATAAAATAGGTGTCTTGAAAGAGTCAAGACTTAACTTACACAAGTGGAATGAAAATAGTTCCTATATAAGTTTCCTATTGTCTTCTATTTAAGTACTGTATTTATAACAGAATCAGAAGAGATCAGACATTGTAAAATTTTAAAAGCAACTTTAAAAATGCTTAAGATATAGCAATGGAAAAAAAATCTCAAAAGAATGTCTTCATAGTATAAAATGCCTATTCCTTCACAAGTGAATTCTGAAACATTTGGCGAACAAAGAGAAACCCTTTGGTTTTCCTCATCTAACAAAGTCAAACTAACTCTTAATTATTTTTAAAAACTACAAAAAGGAATATCTTTATAATTTTGTCTTAGAATCAGATAGTTTGCATTCAATTGGAAATGTTAAATTAAAAAACAATCATCCATAATTCTTTTGGAATTTTAATTAAAAAGAGTTGGGTTCCAGCAGTTCATTTTGTTTCATAGCTACCTGAGAAGTAAGTCCATTGGAATTGGAAACCACCATCACGTAAGACTGTGGCTGTTGCTCGGTTTCCTCAGTGTCTTCTTTCAAATCTTCTTCAGCCTCCTTTTTCTCTACTTCCTGGGTAAGAGTTTTTGTGTCTTGAGCTTTGATAACTGAAGTGATTACAGTGCCAGGTGGGTGGGCAACCAGCTGTGAACTGCGAGGAGAAAATGTCACCACAGGGGTAGTAGCACTGAAGGGTGGCGATGAAGCCACGCTGACGGTTCCATTGCAAATGGACTGGACATTGCTCGTAAGAACCTGCTGTACTTGGGCAGGACTCAAGACAATCGAAGGAGGAGAGCCTGGCTTCTGAGACTGTAACACCACATTTTCTTTCAGTACTGTCATGGGCTGTGATGATGGAATGGCTTGTAAAATAAATTTCTGAGACCCAGCACCTGACGATGGATCTGTGCTGGCTATCACTGTTGTGAGTGGCACTGTCTGGAGTGTTACTGTATGCAAATGCTGATTCCCAGGAGACACGACCACTGGAACTTGGGCTGGAGCTTGTATAGTCCTATAGAAATTAAGGAATAAAAGTGAGAAAATTACCATATTCTACATCATTTAAAACATTAACATTGACAAGTCACTTTGACAAAAATAAGTTATGTATTTCAAATGATATATTCCATATTTTCATCACAACATAACTAACATCATGCCAGACTCTGCAGTAAACACTGCACATACAGAAACACCCAAGAAAACCATTAGATAAAATTAAATAACCCAAGGCTTATTAAATAGTTAACAATTGCCAGATCATTACAGGTGAATTATAGTTATGTGGCCTGCCACATATGTGACAAATGAAATTGTGGAGTAAAAAAAAAAATGTGCTAGATAGAAAGGTGAAAAGAAGATTCAGTACAACCCAGAAGTTCAAAGGAAGTGGAAAGACACAGGAGGAGTTAGACCCCACCATGCAGGTAAGATGCCTGATTCCCAAGTTCAGATTGCCATCAAAGTCACTATGGTCAGGATCAGTCTACAGCAGGATATTAGCAACTCTTGTGAAGAACAAGATAGAAGAGAATATATTATAAGTTGGGTAATGAATATTTAATAGGTGGGGAGGGTGTGGCAAAGAATCAAGGCCAGATGTACTAATATTATTGGGCAGGCAGGGATGAGTTAGAAGGATATAGAGTAACTTTGGGAGCCAGGAAACTTTTCCAAAATGCACTGTGCCTCCCTTCTCCTCCTGTCCACCTGAATCAGGATAGGCTGTGTGAAATCTGAGTTAGTGTATGGTACCTCATCCTATAGTCAGATGTCACTTTTTTAAGGTTTCCCATATCAAGAGTTTATGTACATGTACATATTGGTAAAATAGTACTTGGTATATAGCAAGCATACCAATTGTGTCTATAAATACCGTGTTTCCCAGAAAATAAGACATCCTCTGAAAATAAGCCCTACTTACAGGTTTCCTTCAGAGTAAAATATAAGGCATCCCCCAAAAATAAGACCTACTTACAAGTTTCCTTCTGAGTGAAATATAAGGCATCCTCCCCGAAAATAAGGCTCTGTCTCAGAAACTTTGTGAAACCTAAACTGCAAGAAATTGTGACTTGGGTGAAGAATTCATGGGAGAAAATCACTGACAGTTGCATTGCAAATGCACTGCTATCTTGACAAGAAGTACTCATTTAAAGACAGTGCTATTGCTAAACATGAGAGATTTGGTCCACTGATTCTGAAAGAAATGGAGTCACAAGAAACTCACCAGGAAATTCAGGAATTGGATTGTTATGATGATGTTCCAGAAGATGATGACATGATTGTCATTGAATAAATGAGTAAATTCTTGATACTGTAGGATTCACAGTTTGCCTGGTTTGTGTTGACAACTACTGTACTACTGTACCGTATACAGGTAATAAACTTCCTTTATTTTCATTTAACAATAAATGTGTACTGTATTATTCTTCATGGAAAAATAAGACATCCCCTGAAAATAAGACCTAGCGCATCTTTGGGAGCAAAAATTAATATAAACCTTGCCGGGACCGGTTTGAACCAATGGATAGAGCGTCGGCTTGGGGACTGAAGGGTCCCAGGTTCGATTCCGGTCAAGGGCATGTACCTTGGTTGCGGACATATCCCCAGTAGGGGGTGTGCAAGAGGCAGCTGATCGATCACTCTCTCATCGATGTTTCTAACTCTCTATCTCTCTCCCTTCCTCTCTGTATAAAATCAATAAAATATATATTTTTTAAAAATTAATATAAGCCACTGTCTTATTTTGGGGGAAACAGGGTATGTATGGCCTTGCAGCTCCGTAAGTACTACCCCATTTTACATATGGAAAAATTAATGCACATAAGATTGAATAGTTTGTCTAAGGTGACCAATTAGATAAAAAGCCATCTGAATGCATAGCTTATGTGCTTAACCATTCAACACACTGTCATTTCCTAAGTCCTCGAATAGCTTCAGCTAAAGATGAATATTTACAATTTTATCTATTACTAGAGTCCCAGTGCATGAAATTCATGCACAGTGGTCACGTAGCATAATAAAGTTGTATCTGGTTGATTAATTCTTGGTACCAGATATCTTTATATACCAGTGTAAGTACCAGGTGTGCTTTTTTTAAAGTCACTTTGGAGCAAAAAGGGGAAGTAATTACTTTTATTTTTTGTCAGATCAGCATAAATATATTTTTTGGTGTGCTGAAGAATTTCAGTAGTTTATGTTTGCCATGAGATGAAAAAGGTTGAAAATTGCTGACATAAATCTAGATGGCACAGTTTACTACATATGTAGTGCTTTCGGTATAGCCTATTCCTCCTAGGCTACAAACATATATATTGCATATTACTATACTGAATACTATAGGCAACTGAACACAATGTAAGTATTTGTGTATCTGAACATAGAAAGGTACAGTGAAAATATGGCATCATAGATAAAATGGTATATCTGTATGGGGCACTTACCATAAATGGAGCTTACAGGACTGGAAGTTGCTCTAGGTGAGTGAGTGGTGAAATAATGTGAAGGAAAGCCTAGGACATTACTGAACACAACTGAGACTGTATAAATGATGTCCCACAAACCCTTCCCCTACTTCTTTCCAACAGAGTCAGAAATAGAGTACTGAAACTGTCAATGCTACTCCATGAACAGAGAAGTAGGCTGGATTGACTAGAAATATTGAGAAATTGGTTGGTTAAGGCATAGATAACTATAATAGTAACTATCAGGAGGGAGTGAAAAGTGGCCTGAGGATCAGTAGGAATATTAAATCAAGATGAAGAGATAAAGGAACATAGGGGATTATCATGGCAACGTGGTTTTGGCTATTCTGGTCAGATTAAAAATCTTTGTGGTACACACACACACACACACACACACACACACACACACACACGAGGTTGTTTAACATAGAAAGCGTAGAACTGATGACTCAATATTTTGACTTTGACAATTTGTTTTTGGTTCCATGACCCTATTTGGTACAAAAAGCTCTTTCTGGCATTGAACTGATGGAAAAATGAAACCTATCTATACTTTTCTTCATTACATCTCCTGAAAACATCTCCAAAGCCCAGGTACAGGCTGGCTCCCACTGCTAAAGAAAGCGTTTTCTAAAGTGTCAGTGACACTTAATACTTGTTAAGGTGGCTCCTGTGGACCTGTGTCCTTGTACAGGATCTTAGGTCCTCAACAAAGAACTTACAGCAGTGTATTCTGAATATGATCAAGCTAGATTTGGGAGGGTTGTAGCATTGTGGGTACAGGCTCCTCTGTGCTGTAAAAGGTCAGTGACTGTCTGCCTGGACTATAATCTACACTCAAAATTGAAGTGCTCTGAGTAGATGGGAATGTATTGCCAAATCCCTCAAATATCGCTGCTACCAGAGGAAAATAATTACTCCTGTACCACATAGCCTTCCATTTCTTACAGGAAATTCAGCTCTATTATCATCCTACTAGTGGCCTGGTGCACAGATGCATGCACATTGGAAGGAAATTAGAAGAAATAATTTAAAGTCACTATTCGCCCTTTCTCTATAATAGAAATATCAACCAAATTCATGATAGACAATGACAGATTGAAACACACGCTTGCGATTGGCACCAGCCAGAGCTTCAAATGTATTGCACCTGGGTGAGTCAACTTAGCCTGTTATACTATATACAGAATAAATTTGCTTAATTAGACCTGCTTTCTGATGTAGCTAAACTTTTTCTAGCCCAGTGAAACACCCCAACTTCTCTCATATTATTATTGTAGATCACGTAGGGAGAACAAAGGGTAAAATAACTGCAGCAGTGTTTAACTATATTCTGCGCAGTGAGAAAACCTAAAGTCATTTTCAAGGTCCACCATGTAACCAATGGGATCTGGAGGAAAACAAAACATTAAAAGGAAATAGAGAGCTAAATAATTACTTCTTTAAGGCCAATTAGAGATGTATCATTCCTATCCAAATAAAATGAAAAAAAAGTGATCTTTTTATTCCTTGCAAGACCACTAAAGATTTAAAAGAATTCAATTTTCAGGAAGTTAAAGGTTTAAATGGACCATATAAGAAAGATTGAACCACCTAAGTCTATCTTGATCCTAGATAATGTTTGCTTACTGTAAGATCAATTGAACAAAAATCCAGCATTTATATTCTGAATATAAGACTAAGGTTGACTAATAAAAGTAATCAAAGCCCTAACGGGTTTGGCTCAGTGGATAGGGAGTCAGCCTGTGAAGTGACGTGTCCTAGGTTCGATTCCAGTCAAGGGTATGTACCTTGGTTTCGGGGACATCCCCAGGAGGGGGTGTGCAGGAGGCAGCTGATGGATATTTCTATCTCATCGATGTTTCTAACTCTCTATCCCTCTCCTTTCCTCTCTGTAAAAAAAAAAAAAAAAATCAATAAAAATATATATTTTAAAAAAGTAATCAAAGAATAATTGTTATTAGATTTTGAGGAGCTCCTACATCTTATTATAATTTATGTACTGGAAATTCATGACAGTAGAAACAGAAAAATGGAGTATTACCTTTATTTTATCCCTCTCTACATTTTCCTCATTCTAAATTGGCCAAGACAAGCCCTAAATATCTGCAAAAGACTACTCTGAAGCAGATAGGGTTTTCTTAGTTAACCTGTTGTTTCATATCTTTTCTGAGACTATGAAGCAAATTTGATTTGATTAAGCCAACTTCTACCACTCTGCAAGCCTGAAAAAGAGGACCTTAGATTCTTGGCCTTTCTACCTGTTGGAACTTTGGAATTAACTGTTCCATAATAGGATTTCCCAAGGAATAATGTTTATATCTTGAAACCCAATACATTCCAAAAATGATATGTTCATTTTTGTTGAATTTTTGCAGCTTCTGACTCTGAAAATAGATCTGAAACCATTCTCTGGGTTTTCTTATATGTGGATCCCTTATTATATAAATTAATTCAATTATAAAAAGGTATAATGGCCGGAACTGGTTTGGCTCAGTGGATAGAGCGTCAGCCTGCGGACTGAAAGGTCCCAGGTTCGATTCCAGTCAAGGGCATGTACCTTGGTTGCGGGAACATCCCCAGTGGGGGGGGGGGGGGGGGAGGGGGGCGTGTGCAAGAGGCAGCTGATCAATGACTCTCATTGATGTTTCTAACTCTCTATCTCTCTCCCTTCCTCTCTGTAAAAAATCAATAAAATATATTTTTAAAAAATAAAAAAAATAAAAAGGTATAATGGACTAGACTTAAATTGATAGAATAACATCAAGTAATATCAAAGTGTAAAAATAAAGGAAGCATTGATACAATCAGGTGTGATACAATCTGATGACCATTCTAGCTTGAAATCTGTATCATTTTTAAGACCCACTTAATAAATAATGGCTCTGGATCAGGAACATCACATAATAGTACATATTGGTAAATTTTAGTTTTCTCACCTAATACTTTGAACCGAGGAATTTACTGTTTCATCTTGCACACAACTAATTATGGCCGCTTCTCCTTCTGGGACGGCTTGTACTGGCTGCACTACATGAACAGTCCGGAAGAGCGGAGTAGGATATGCAGACTGTGTGGGCTGCACTGTCCTCAGAACTTCTGATGGCTGTGCAACTTCCACAGGATCTTTGGTTTTAGTAGCTTTAGAATTCCCTGGTTTTAGAACTGTAGTGGCTCCTCCTTTTATCCCTGGACTTGAAGATACTCTTGATCGGCCTGCTTGGTTCCTGCTTGAAGTGGTTGTTGCTGACAGTGATGGATCTGAAGATTCTATGCTGGAACTTGGATCCTCATCATCTATATAAATAAGATCTTTTGGCATTTCCTTAAACTGATACACCAGGCGCTGACCTTCTACTTTTGCCAGAATACCCCTTTGGTAATAGTACCTATTCAAAGCAGATAATTCCATCAATATTTTATTCAATTAAATATAAATGAAAATAATATTCACCAAAATAAAAACTTTATAATTGTGAAGTTTAAAGTTGGGAACAAACAAGTGAGAGAAAAGAATTTCTATATGAAGGGCAATTATTTTATATAAGATAATGTAATTAAAACATTATTTTCTAACTATATGTAAAATACATATTTATTCACAAAGAGCAAAGTCCTTATTACTAACTGAATCTAAAGGTAATTTTAATTAGGGAATTGTTAATAAAGTATATGGATTATTCTAGCCTTCACTTTTCTTCCTTCCTCTACCTTTCTGTTAATTTGCTGGAATAATCCAATCTAGTACCAAACTCAAGAAACTATTTCCCTTTCATATTTTCCTGTAATGTCACTACCAGTTTAAATTTGACTCTGTAAACTTAATTCAGTTTTCTATATAAAATTTAATGATGCACAAATAGAAGGGATTCAAATTTTGTCAATAATTTAAATTATATTACTAAGCAAAAGTATGTTAAAAAAACATTAAGTACACAATTCTAGCTTAAGGTTATCAAGTTATCATATCATTGGTATTTTTAATAAAATTTTCTCAAATACATTTGTATCTTGAAGAATAAATGATAAGACCACAGAGAAAATAAAGTGAATTAAAGAATATTATACTCCAGTGGAAAAATTTGTCTAATCTTATCCCTACAGCAAAGATTTATTCTACATAAGATATTATAAATCAGACCTGAGGTTTACATATAAAAATGCACCCCTTAATTTCCTATATCACCACTATTTGTATTTTGTGCTGAATTAAGTTTAATGGCTCAATACAGGTTTGGCCTATGGTCACTTTATAATACCTGATAATATTTTAACACTTTCTGATCCCTTTATAAATATCTGTTGTTTGCATGAAGATCTTTTTTGGGAGGCAAACATTTTCCCAGATTGAAATAAGATTTCCGTTTAAATGCACACTGATCCTAAATCACTGTGGTTTTAGCAATTCAATAAATAAAATTCACCATTTTAAAAATTCTTTAGCTTTTTAGAAGTTATCAAATTTTTTTTTTTTAGCATTTAGGAAATTATATTCTTAACATAATAAAATACAAAAACTTCACATACCTGAGAGCTCTTCCCATGGTCTCATAATTCATATCAGGTTTATTTTTGTGCTTCCCCCACAATCTGGATACTGCTTTAGAATCTACCAATTTAAAAATGCCTTTTTCTCTCTGGGTCCATTTGATATATTTAGGACAAGTAGCTTTGTCCTGGAGCAGTGCCAGTAAAAACTCCCAAAGATAAATGGTGTTTCCTGAAACAAAAGTCTTTGATCAAAATTTCATTTGAAGTGCACAATAAAACACAACTAAAAGTTCCATCTGTAATTATACAAAGATAATAATATAATTTGTTACTATTGAAAATATAATGGTTATAATTTTGGGGCTGATAAGATTTTTTTTACTAGCCGCATATAAGGTATCTCAACAGAGCAATCTTGCCAATTAGATTTGTCATGTTTTAGGGAGAAAGCACTTTGAGATGATTTTTTTCCTTCAAATTTTGGAAACAATTATTAAAATATTATGTAATAAAATTTCTATAAACTGAAAACCTAACCTGGCTGAACTATTCCAAGAGACTCATTATTATATGAATGAACGGATTATTTGGACAGGTGAGTGAACATCTTTTAAAAATCCTTTTAAAAGAGCATGGTAGTAACATGGCCCAGAAAAGATTTCTGGGCTATGTTACTACCGTGCTTTTTATAGAAAATGGCAACTGTATCTCATAAGCATTTTAAAGCAATCTGAACATCATTTGACCTGTAAGTTTTATAGGAAAATTACCATACTACTTACCCTTCCCATCTTTGTTTTTCTTCTTCACAGATATGTTTGGTGTAGTGGCTGGGGAATCTGGTCGTGGTGGTTTAGTTTTTCTCCCTGGAAGCAGAACAGCTCTGCATAAATATCTGCCCTCAAAAGTGTGAGTGGACAATTTAGCTGTTAGTGCCGTTTTATCCTTTATCCTAATTTTAGGTGCCAAACACTTTCTATATATATATATGATATATATATATATATATATATATATCATATATATTGGTCTCTTTAAGTGCTATTTAATGAAAATAATTTGAGTAAAAACTTTAATGTGATTTAGATCACAAATACATTGAAAATGATATTTTGGTTCATTTGTAAACATAAGGTTAAGTTCAAAACATTGCATCTTGTCTTTGAGTTGACAATGCTGACAGTGCTTTCTTAAAATTCAGAGGGAAATTCTTAATTCTGATAAAACCTGAGCTAAAAAAAAAAATCCATATAGGTTTCTAAGTTTTTAAGGCAGGAAAAGTAGATTTTTAGCTTTTTTCTCTTTTAAATATATTGCTGGGTCCATGTGACATATTTAGGGACAAGTAACTTTGTTAGTTTGCATAGTTAGTTCTCAAATTGGAAACTTCCCCAAACTCTAGATATAAAAAATAAATGAAACAAAATTTTGGTGAAACAAAGTAAATTTTTTATTTTCCTGTGTATTTTTAAACATCTCATTTTTCTGTATATTTCTGTTTACAGCAAACAGACTTTATATGTTATCCATTAACCAATCTCTAAACAAGTTCATTCCAAGAGTAGCATTAAACTGTATTTTGTGCAGCTTTAGTCTGGATCAACCAATTACCCTAAAGCCTTCTTGTAATCCTCTTTTGCCACTTATCTAGAATCACAATTGGTTGGCAATGTTCCCTGTAACTTAGGTAGAAATGATCATGCTGTCTCCGTCAGTATATGGGTAACAACAAGGACCAAGCATAATTGGATACTTCAGTTAGTACCTCTTACTCTAGCATTTTTAAGGCTGACTGTCTCAAGGGTGAACCTGAGTCAGAGAGAAGAGTGTCAAAGATGTTCCCCTTCAGGCCCCCCTTAAGACTACCAAATGTATAAATGTGGAACCTAGTCAGCCAGGTGTCTCAATTTCCATCACTGCAGACATCTGCAGAGAACCCATTCACGAGGCAGACACTTCTGGTTGACTGTGTTAATGAAAACAAGTTTTAGAAGCCAAGAATTCTGTTAGCTCCTATTCCTATCACTCATTTTATGCTTCCTATTTACCTGTGTGTGTTTTTCTGATAGATACCATATTCTTTCTTTTTAAAATGTTTTTATTGATTTCAGAGAGAAAGGGAGAGGGAGAGAGATAGAAACATCAACGATGACAGAATCAACGATCAGTTGTCTTCTGGATGCCCCTGACTGGGGATGGAGCCAGCAACCTGGGCATGTGCTCTGACTGGGAATCAAACTGTCACCTCCTGGTTTATAGATTGATGCTCAACCACTGAGCCACTTCAACAGACCTAGAATTAATTGACTTTTTTTTAGGGAGGAAAGGAGAGAGAGAGATAGAAAGAGAGAGAAAGAGAAAGAGAGAGAGAGAGAGAGAGAGAGAGAGAGAGAGAGAGAGAGAGAGAGAGCGAGCGAGCGCGCGAGAGCGCGAGAGATTGGTTGCCTCCTATACGTGCCCCATTTGGGACTGGAGATCAAACCTGCAACCCAGGGGTGTGCCCTGGACTGGGATTTGAACCCACCACCCTTCAGTGCAAGGGCTAATGCTCTAAGCCCTGAAGCACACCAGTCAGTGCTCAAAAGGATTTTATTTAAGGAAATCCCATACAGCCTGGTTTAAATGTATGATTTGCCAGAACAATTTTACAAGAGCTTCTGTCTGATGTCCCAAAGTTATTGCTAGCCTGGGTCACTCTTATGTAATTTACTTTTTTGGGAAATCCTAAAGAAATTGATAGTTTAAAATCTTAATTATAAACTTAGGTTAAGGCAAGCCTAGGATTATGAATTTTCGAAGGAAGAATTCCTTTTTCCTTCACTCAGAGCCATAGCTTCCTTGATATTTGTCTGTGCCAATGGGCATAGTGTTTTTCTCTTGTGGTTATAGCCTTTCAAGGACCCCAATTACATGCTGAGGTCTCTTCCCAGACCCCATCTTGCACTGGATCAAGACTTAAGCATCTTACCAAAACCGGTTTCGCTCAGTGGTAGAGCATCAGTCTGCGGACTGAAAGGTCCCAGGTTCGATTCCAGTTAGGGGAAGGTACATTGGTTGTGGGCACATCCCAGGTAGGGGGTGTGCAAGAGGCAACTGGTCGATGTTTCTCTCTCATCGACGTTTCTACCTCTCTATCTCTTTCCCTTCCTCTCTGTAAAAATCAATAAAATATATTAAAAAACAAAACAACAACAAAAAAAACTTAAGCATCTGCCTCTACAAGGGCAATAAGATCTGATCCACCTAAATACCAAGCCTGACGTGTCCTTCTCAACCCTTAATGGCCATGGCAGTGCTAGCTCATTCTTAATGTTTTCATTGTCCTCTTAATTAAAAAAAAATTTCTTAAATACATTTTTATTGATTTCAGAGAGGAAGGAGAGAGATAAAAAACATCAATGCTGAGAGAGAATCATTGATCAGCAGGCTCCTGCATGTCTCCCACGGGGGATCAAACCCACAACCCAAACATGTGCCCTGACTGGGAATTGAATCATGACCTCCTGGTTCATAGGTAGATGCTCAACCACTGAACCACACCAGCCAGGCTCCTCTTCAATTTTGGCTCTAGGAATTTTTCCTTCTTTTTCGTGAAGTTAGGTTACTTGGTAGCTAGTAGTGATGCCATTAACCAAGATATTAAACTTAAAATATTAAACAAATTGGAGCAGAATCAGAATAAAATAAAATGGAAAGAGTGTTAAACTTTAAAATATAAGAATGGTCCTAAAGTTAAAAACTCCCTTTAAGCCAAAACCGGTTTGTCTCAGTGGATAGAGCGTTGGCCTGCAGACTGAAGGGTCCCGGGTTCGATTCTAGTCAAGAGCATGTACCTTGGTTGCGGGCACATCCCCGGTGGGGGGGTGGGGGGGTGCAGGAGGCAGCTGATTGATGTTTCTCTCTCATCAAGACTTTATTGTTTCCTTTAAACGAATGAACCACTCACCTTTCTTCCTCTTAGGTTGTTCTGGTGAGGAGGCTCCTGGTGAGTGTGCATATGTCTCTTGAACCTGCTGAGTTTCCATCACTTCAGGAATCCCATCTAATGTGACGGATACATGGGTGATTGGGGCAACAACAATGTCATCTTCAGATGAACTAAAAATACTATTATCTAATGGAAATAAATTATCAACTTTGTATTACAAATCAAAATAATTTCATAAAATAATTTTATGTTTCTATAAATATACATAAAAACTTTATTTTTTATTTTTTTTGTTCATAATTTTTTAAATTAAATTATCTGTGTACATATTTTAACATTGCCCGCCCCTCCACATACATACCCTCCCTCCCCAGAGTTTTGTGTCCATTGGTTATACTTATATGCATGTATACAAGTCCTTCAGTTGATCTCTTATCTCCCCCAGAACTCCCTACCCTCCCTGCTGTAATTTGACAGTCTGCTTGTTGCTTTACTGTCTTTATATCTATCTTTTGGTTCATCAATTTATAATGTTCTTTATTATCCATAAATGAGTGAGGTCATGTGGTATTTCTCTTTCATTGACTGGCTTATTTCACTCAGCATGATGTTCTCCAATTCTATCCAGATTACTGCAAATGATGAGAATTCCTTCTTTTTTATGGCAGCATAGCATTCCATTGTGTAGATGTACCATGGTTTTTTTATCCAATCATCTGCTGACGGGCACCTAGGCTGTTTCCAGATTCTAGCTATTGTAGCTTGTGCTGCTATGAACATAGAGGTGCATATATCCTTTCTTATTGGTGTTTCTATACATAAAAACTTTAAATTTAGTGCCTTTTTAAAAATTTCCTCTGCCTGAAATCAGATATCCTACATCAGTAAGGCTTGACAAAACTATTTCAATGTTTCCCTTACTTGACTTTCTATCACCAGTCTCTCTTACTTCTCTTTTACACTCTTCACAGTGCTACTAAAGTTATCTTCTGAAACCTAAGTCTAATCTCACCATATTATTCTTTTCTATAAAAACTTTACACTGAGGAGGAAACCAAGATGGTGGCATAGGTAAACACCTAAACTGCTGCCTTGCACAACAATTTCAAAACTACAACTAAAAGACAAAAATGGACATCATCCAGAACCACAGGAAAGCGGCTGAATGGAAATTCTATAACTAGAAGGAAAGAGAAAAGCACACTGAGACTCAGAGGAGCTGCAGAAGGTAAAGGTACTTCGTGTGCATGAAGAGGGTAGGCAATTGAGTAGGCAGCTGGCTTTCTCAAGTGGGAGGGAGACAAAAGCTCCCAACTGCGCTGAACTCCAGTTCCAGGTGAGACTCTGGGGACCCAGACTCATTCGGGGAGAAACTGGACTGTCTGGCAACAAGCAAAACTCAAGGATGGTTTTCTCTCAGAAGTGCTTGCAGCGATTACCATGGGACACTGAGACACAGGGGCCTTTTAGGGCAGGGCTGGTGGGGAAACCAAGACTGTCTGCTCTGCCCTGAGACTCCATTCCATCCAAGCTGAACACAGAGGCTTTTGTAAGTCTTGTCTCATAAGGGTGTCTCCAGCACAGAAGTTCTCCCAGCGTAGACACAGCTGATCCTCACAACCAACTGGCTTGGAGGTCAATTCCAACAAGAGTCAAGGCTTAACTACAATAAGACTGTGCACACAGCCCACAAAGGAGTGCACCAAGAGTGTCCACCTCAGGTAACTAGGGAGGCTGAGCCACTGAGCCCTATAGGACACTTCACACACAAAGCTACTCTATCAACTCAGGGAAGCAGCCAAAATGCGAAGACAAAGAAACATATCACAAACGAAAGAAATGGAGAAAAGCAAATGACTGGATAGAGTCCAAAACCACAATTATAAAGTTTTTCAAGAATTTTCTAGAAAAGGCCAATAAATTTAGCAAGACCCTCGAGGATATGAAAAAAGAGCAACTAGAAGTTAAGCATACACTGACTGAAATAAAAAATATTATACAGAGATGTAACAGCAGACTAGAGGATTGCAAGAATCAAGTCAAACTTTTGAAATACAAAGAAACAAAAAACACCCAACTGAAAAAGCGAAAAGAAAAAAGGATCCAAAAATATGAAGATAGTGTAAGGAGCCTCTGGGACAACTTCAAGGGTACCAAAATCCGAATTATGAGGGTGCCAGAAGAAGAGAGAGAGAGCAAGATACTGAAAACCTATTTGAAGAAATAATGACTGAAAACTTTCCCCTTCTGGTGAAAGAAATAGACTTCAAGTCCAGAAAGTGCACAGAACACCAAACAAGAGGAATCCAAAGAGGAACACACCAAGACATATCATAGTTAAAACAAGAGCAAAAGACAAAGAGAGAATATTAAAAGCAGCAAGAGAAAAACAGTTAATTACCTACCAGGGAGCATCCATACAACTGTCAGCTGATTTCTCAACAGAAACTATGCAGGCCAGAAGAGAGTGGCAAGAAATATTCAAAGTGATGAATAGCAAGAACCTATAACCAAGATTACTCTACCCAGTAAAGCTATCATTCAGAATTAAAAGTCATATAAAGGGCTTCACAGATAAGAAAAAGCTAAAGGAGTTCATCACCACCAAAACAGTATTATATGAAATGCTGAAAAATATTCTTTAAGAAGAGGAAGAAGAAGAAAAAGGTAGATGAAAATTATGAACAACAAATACATCTATCAACAAGTGAATCTAAAACTCAAGTGAATTAAAAATCTGATAAACAAAATAAACTGTTGAATATAATAGAATCAGGGGCATAAAAAGGGAGTGAACTGACAATTCTGGGGGGGGGGTAAAGGGATGTGGGGGTGCAGGAAGAGACTGGACAAAAATCATACACCTATGGATGAGGAAAGTGGGGGTGGGGTGTAAGGGCAGAGGGTGTGGTGGGAACCGGATAGAGGGGAGCTATGGGTGAAAAAAGAGAAACAACTGTAGTAATCTGAACAATAAAGATTTATCAAATTAAAAAAAACAACTTTAGCCAAAACCAGTTTGGCTCAGCGGTAGAGCGTCGGTCTGCGGACTGAAAGGTCCCAGGTTCGATTCCGGTCAAGGACATGTACGTTGGTTGCAGGCACGTCCCCAGTAGGGGGTGTGCAAGAGGCAGCTGGTCAATGTTTCTCTCTCATCAACATTTCTAGCTCTCTATCTCTCTCCTTTCCTCTCTGTAAAAAAAATCAATAAAATATATTAAAACAAACAAACAAACAAAAAACAACAACTTTATACTGAAAATTAAAAAGAAAATGGCATAGCATGACATGTGAAGCTTCCCACAGTCTATATCAAACCTACCTTTCCAATTTCATCTCCACCTCATCTATACCAAAATATTTTTATCTACATCTGATTCTTTCTTACAGATCTGTGTGTTTGGCCCAACCCACCCCTTCTACTTTGAATACCCTTTCCGGTTTCCTCTACTCATTAAAAGCTTATTTGCCCTTTATAGCCAAGTTCAAAGCTCTCTGTCCATAAAGCCCTTCTCTGGAGTTATTAGCTACAGTTCGCTCTCCTTCCAGAAAACACTGTTATCTCTCTCATGACTTTTATTTTTGGTTTTTGTAGTTATTTACCTAAATAACTGTTTTTAAAATTAAATTGTAAGACTGAGGAAAGAGGCAATATCTGTTCATTTGTATAAACACTATCGTCTAATGCACTGCTGCGCATAGAGTGAACATCTTGAATTGCTGTAGTATTAATTAATTTTGAATTTAAGCACTTTCTTGTCAGAAAAGCCCCAAGAGAACATGAATTTAAAAGCAGATAGATCAAATTGTTTGTGGTGGGATGAGGAGCCCACCCACACACTATAGGGAACTTTGAGTGGCAGAGGTGGTGACATAAAATGGGGCAGATGGAGAATTTGACTAAGAAGATAGATTTATAGGAACCTCTGAATGTGAACTCAGCAACCGTAATTTGAAGTTTCATCATTCCCCTTGAACCCTTGCTGATATGCTGACGTTTGTGGTCATTAGTGACCATTTGATTTTCCCCTTCCCTTAAAGTAAAAGCCAAATTCAGCATTTTCTCAAGTTGGTTTTTTAGGACCCTTGTCTGCCATCTTCTTTGCTTGCTGGCTTTCCAAATAAACTCACTTTTCTTGCCCTCCCCCCCCCCCAAATAAATAAAAGCAGATCAAATGTAGCAATGAATTTTATGCCATGAAGTATTAGAAAACTTTTCAATGGATGTTCGCCTATTCACTAATGAATATCTATAGAGATTAATAAATAATAATAGCTTGAATTTGAAACATCCTAATACTTTCACCAATGAAGTTAAGAGAAGAAATTCTGCATAAACTACTATTTTACAACTATATAAATTACTTTTTATTCCTTAAGGCCTTACTCCACAAATTAAAAGAAAAGTCTTGTTAATCGAACACTTCTGCAAAGGTGCCTCAGTTAGGACTTTATCTTAAAATGTCCTTGGGACAAAAAGTACAAAGCATGGTCTCTGTTTTCTTAATATTTTTCATCTAATAGTGATGGCAAGAATAGCTTGTCAAAGTTTATAAACATGAACAATCATAACACATCACCACTCACTTATTCGTTTTTCATCCAGAATAGGGCCAGGAGAATCCATATTAAGGAGTGCTTCAGCAGCCTCAATAGTTTCAATCGTTTCATCCCCATTATGACAGGAAGCTTCAACTATTTGAAAGAAAAATAGAATTACTGTTGCTTTAAAACCCATAGGTTCCGATGGCTTGAAATAGGGTATATTCATTTAGTACTTGGGCTTATATACTTACTTTATATCAACATATAAAATCTATATATGACTATTAAATACTTGTCTTTTTTTTTTTTTTTTTTTTTTTTTACATTTCACAGATGTAAAAAAAAAAAAAAAAAGTCTGCAAGATGTGAGGCTTTTGGGTAAATGAAACAAGCCCTAGATGGGTAGCTCAGTTGGTTGGAGCATCATCCGACACCAAAATTGTTGCGAGTTCAATTCTTGGTCAGGGCACACCTGAGGTTACAGGTTTTGTCCCTGGTCAAGGCAAGTCTGGGAGGCAACCAATCAAAGTTTCTCTCTTGCCCAGCTGGTGTGGCTCATTGGTTGAGCATCAACCTATGAACCAGGAGGTCGAGGTTCAATTCCCAGTTAGGGTTGCAGGCTCGATCCACAGTAAGGGTCATGCAGAAGGCAGCTGATTGATGAGTCTCTCTCATCATTGATGTTTCTATCTCTCACTTCCTCTCTGAAATCAATAAAAATATGTTTAAAATAAATAAATAAATAAATAAATAAATAAATAAATAAATAAATAAATAAATAAGATGAGGGACCTGTCTGGGTAGCTCAGTGGATTAGAGCGTTGTCCCAATACACATGGTTACAGGTTCTAACCTGGTCAGGGCACATACAAGAATCAAACAATGAATGGGTAAGTGGAACAACAAATTAATGTCTCTCTCACTCTCTTTCCCTTCCTCTCTAAAATCAGTAAGTGGGGAAAAAAATGTTAAATATATTTTATTGATTTTTCACAGAGAGGAAGAGAGAGGGATAGAGAGTTAGAAACATCGATGAGAGAGAATCATCGATCAGCTACCTCTTGCACATCCCCTATTGGGGGTGTGCCCGCAACCAAGGTACATGCCCTTGACCTGAATCGAACCTGGGACCTTATAGTCTGCCAGCTTACGCTCTATCCACTGAGCCAAATCGGTTTCAGCAAGTGGAAATTTTTTTAAAAGAATAAATAAGAGGGGCATTTGACTTGATTAGAAAGGGTTCAGGAGAACAGGCAAAATCCCATATGTGCCACTAATCTAGTATGTCACTGGGTAAGACATTTTGTTTCTGCAGACTCCACACTATAAAATTAGGTCCCTTTCACCTCTGACACTTATTCCAACACTCTTGGAATGAACTTAGGTCTCTGTTAATTCTCTGACTCTTCTTTCATTCCTTTATAATTATACTGAATTGCCACCATCTCCAAAAAGTTTTAGTCATAATCACATTATTAAAATCATGGTAATTCTGGTACAATTCTTCTCTAGTGGGTACTATAAAACATTAATTATCCCTCTATTAATTTTTAAAGTTTTTCTTAAATTTTAAGTGTTTTTCTTAATTTTTAAAAGATATTAAAATATAAGTGAAAATTTATCCAAGTACACGCTAGATAACTGACATTTCTCTGCATCCCAGACAGATGCCCAAAATAGTTGCACAGTAAATTCCTGTATGGCTTTTAGCCCTTAACCTCTAGTCAGAACCAAGAAACTAAACAGCTACAAATCCCCTTTTTTCTTGGATAAATTCGTTTTCTAAATGTGATAGTCATTATCCATAATCCCTTATACTGACTTACTGAATTTTCCCCTCTATAATTCTGATAAAAATTACATTATCTATAATTGTGGTAAAAATTACATAATTTTAAGTTTGAATATTTATTTATATTAACTTTTAGATCAGAGTTGAACTGACAGTATGTAACTCAATGGATGTAAGCCTTTTAATTTTACATAAAGTTAAGATAGTAAATATAAACATAATAGGAGGAGCAAAAGTTCTTTTATCTCAATTAAATGAAAGAGATTACATATTTACACATTGTCTTCTTCGCATTCCTATTGAATCCAGAACAAGATCATTTTCTTTTTATTACTAAGAATGTAACCAGATTTCCAAAAAATTAGTAGCTCTGTAAAATTTAGCTTAAGTTTTCATTAGATTATAATATTTATTATCCTAAATATTTCTTAAAGAAAATAAACCAAAAAAAGTACAGATAGCTTTTAAAAATATAAATATTTACAAATAACATAATCATGATTATCTTCCACTTGTGGAAAAATAATTTCTACCATGCACTTTAATAATTTTACTTTTAGATCCTCAAAAACTGGTAATGGAAGAAGAATCTCCACATAGATAAGAGCTCAGAATCTAATTATTTCCAGAAATTTTAAATAACACAACCTTTTTACAAAAAAACCTTTTGTGGCACTTCAACATATAGATAAAGGTATTTTATCGTTGTACATTTATTTTATAGATTCAAATTTATTTCAAACTTGATATGAAATAAATCAATGATAAAAATAAAAGTATTTTGATAAACATTAACATTTTAAATCAAGTGTTATAAACAGCTGCAATCATTTAACATCAGGTTCAAACCCATAAAAAATAATTTTTTATTATTGAAAATTTCAACCAAAATCAAAATTATGGACTATAGTATAATGAATTCTCACATACTCATTCTTAGCATCAATCATTATCAACACATGGTCAATCTTCTTTCATCTTTATGCTACTCACTGCCCTCAAAGTTTACTTTGAAGGAATCCAAGACACCATATTTTATCTTTAAATATTTTAATATACATGTCTAAAAGATACATATTCAAATCCAATGCTGTTATTATATTTTAAATACTAACAGTAAATATTAAAAATAATTCTTTAATATAGTCTGCAGTGCTATCTAGGATTCAACATGTATAGTTTATAAAGTGTTCTATTCCCATTTCTCTCTTCCCCCGTAGTGTTTCTAAAATACAGTACTCTTCCCTTCCCCACTCTGGACTAAGAAGGATTACTACAAGATTCTTTGCTTTCTTAAGACATTGCTCAAACAAGGATGGAAAAGTTAAACAAAGCTGGAAAGTAAGAAAGATGAGGGAGATGAAATATGCAAAATGCCAATCTGTTTTTCAAGATCTGTTTTGATTTATGGATCCATTTCATACCAGTTCTATTTTCCAGGAAGGAAGGAACCTATCTGTATCTCATCATCAGCTATCTTCAAGTCTAAGCCTAAGAGAATGAAGCACTAAAAGGAAGAAGCTTCCTTCTGCTTTCCTAAGCTCTATATCTTCTTTGAGGACTAACATCTTTCCTGATGACTAAAATCAGGAAGACCCTAGTTCAAAATTTACAGAGAGTAAGTACCGTGTTTCCCCGAAAATAAGACATCCTCCGAAAATAAGAGCTAGCGCATGGAAAGATAAGACATCCCTTGAAAATAAGACTTAGCGCAACTTTGGGAGAAAAAATTAATATAAGACACTGTCTTATTTTCGGGGAAACAGGGTAGTATAGCCTTCCCTTAAGACAGTGGTTTTCAACCTTTCTAATGCCGCGACCCTTTAATACAGTTCCTCATGTTGTGGTGACCCCCAAGCATAAAATTATTTTCGTTGCTACTTCATAACAGGTTGAAAACCGCTGCTGTAGAGTCTAAGACCATCAGAAAACACAGATATTTACATTACAATTCATTAACAGTAGCAAAATTACAGTTATGAAGTAGCAGCAAAAATAATTTTATGGTTGGGAGTCACCACAACATGAGGAAATGTATTAAAGGGTTGTGGCATTAGAAAGATTGAAAACCACTGCCTTAATACATCAATAATTCAGAATACACTGCAAAAATGTCACTAGCTACACATGCATAGTGGTGGTCATTCAGTTATACAAAACCGACAGATCACAGCCAACAATGAATAGAAACTTCTAACCTGATAAATATAATTTCCTTATCCATAAGGGAGAAACAAATTTAGATTTATCAAAAAACTTCACTGGGTTTCTCCAAACAAAAAATATGAATATATAAGAACATGCTTTATACAAATAGACAAATTAAGTGTTGTTCATCAATGGGGCTCAGTCACTTGGCTGGTGACTGTAGGCAAATCATGTAATTTAACCTCTCTAATTTCAGTTTTTTTCTGTTGTGAGAATTAACTGAGACAGTGTGTTTTTTAATCAATCATGTTAATACTACAGGCCCGATGCGTGAAATTCATGCAAGGTCCTTGGCACCTGCCCACCAAGGCTTTATCCAGAAGGTCTTCCAGAAGAACATCTGCCTAATTAGCATATTACACTTTTATTATTATAGACTAGAGGCCTGGTGCATGAAACTCGTGCATGGGGCGGGGGGGGGGGGGGGTGATGTCCTTCAGTCCAGCCTTCACCCGCTCCAATCTGGGACATCCCTCTCACAATCTAGGACTGCTGGCTCCCAACTGCTCGCCTGCCTGTCTGTCTGATTGTCCCTAACCACTTCTACCTGCCAGCGTGATCACCCCCTAACCACTCTAATGACAGCCTGATCAATGCCTAACGGCTCCCCTGCTAGCCCAATATCCCCTAACTGCCCTCCCCTGCCAGCCCAATCACCCCTTACTGCCCTCCTCTGCAGGCCTGGTTGCCCCTAACTGCTCTCTCCTGCAGGCCTGCCCCCCTCCCCCTTCCCGCCAACTGCCTTTCCATGCAGGCACGGTCACCCCCAACTTCCCTTCTCTACCAGCCTGGTCACCCCTAACTTCCCTCCCCTGCAGGCTTGATCGTCCCCAACTGCCCTCCCTTGCAGGCCTGGTCCCTCCCAACTGCCCTCCCCTGCTGGCCATCTTGTGATGGCCATCTTTGACCACATGGGGGCAGCCATCAGTGTGTTGGGGCGATGGTCAATTTGCATATTGTTCTTTTATTAGATAGGATGACACATTCAGGAGACAATGCCATTTTGTTAATATTGTTGCCCAAAATACATTTATCTCATTCCAATGAAAACATATCACACAAAATTAAGAGATATTCTACAATGTCTAACCACTTTTCCTCAAAAATGTCAATGTTATAAAAGACAGAGGAAATCCTTATAGACTGGAAGAGACAGAGAAGAAATTACTAAATTCTGTATGAATTCTGGAACATAGGATCCTGGGACAGGAAAAGGACATTAATATGAAGTGGGTAAAATACTGATAGATCTAGATTTAATTAATAATATTGTGACTAAGTTAATTTTGTTGTTTTAAATTTAAGAATACTTGAAATAACTTTTGCTTCTAAATAACTGATTTTCTAGCCAAGACTGGTTTGGCTCAATGGATAGAGCATCGGCTTGGGGACTGAAGGGTCCCGGGTTCGATTCTGGTCAAGGGCATGTACCTTGGTTGCGGGCATAACCCCAGTAGGGGGGGGTGTGTGCAAGAGGCAGCTGATTGATGACTCTCTCTCATCAATGTTTCTAACTCTATATCTCTCTCCATTCCTCTCTGTACAAAATCAATAAATAATTGATTTTCTCAAATACTTCCAACATTTTTGCATGTAAATGTATAATAATAATAATACCAGTGAATGCAATGATTTCTAAAACTGAAGAAAATAGCACTAGCATAGTGAACTCTTCAAGTCTGAAAAGGCCTCCTAGTTCTGACTGAATCAGAAGAGGAATCTTCTTTAGTAAACCTCAGCACCTTATACTACATTTGGATCATGGCCTCCTATTTTGCTTTATGTGATGGCAATAAAAAACAAAAGAAAACAAAACTTTCCTTTTTCTCTACTAACAACTTCTCACTGTTATCAGGAATATAGAGCTAGGTACATAAGTGCTCAGGGAAGACTAGATGAATTGATTTGGTTTGGTTCCTCTTGCACGTATTCTTATTTTGTCACATTCTTCTCAATATACTTAGGGAAGAAAGGAGAGGTGAGAACACTAAGAAACATAGGCAGGTGAGAAAGAAAAGGTTAATTTATTTTTCTCTGCAGGGCTCTAGCTTCTGCAGGTAATAGTTATTCAAACCAAGTTAGGAACATGTATGTCCCCTAAATTATAGGGCTTGGGCACTGCCTAAAACTAGGCTGAAGTAAGGGGCTGCTGGAGGCACACACACCTACCTGTAAGGGTGATGTTGTCATCATCATCATCATCTATGATTTCTTCTTCAGCAACATCTAGGGAGCTCTCAGTAATCATGTCATTGGGCTCTTCCACACAAGCTAGACCCGCATAACTATTGAGAATATCAGCACCAGGAACATGCTCCACAATTACCGCAGGAAAAATAGCTGCATCACCAAGCTGGGAGAGGTGAGGAGAAAAAGGGATCAATAAAAATTTTCTTTTGTTAAATATAACAAAAAATTATTTTACATTGAGGGCATGATTTAGTTTTTACATCATCAATACTTGTACTTGACAATCCTTCTAGGCTGCTGTGAATATTAAGACTTTTAAGAATTTTCATTATTAATCTTGAGTCTTAACAACCAAGTTTTCATAGGAAAAGGATACTTTTAAACCATATTAAATTTACCAATATCATTAATGCATGAGAAGTTGCATACAAATGTCCGATGAAATAAAATCTCAACAAAAGGTTCTTTGACAGAAAAATATCTGTGAGTTTAAATAAACACTAGAGGCACAGTGTATGAAATTTGTGCATTGGGTGTGTGTGTGTGTGTGTGTGTGTGTGTGTGTGTGTCCATCAGTCCAGCCTGCACCCTCTCCAACCTGGGATCCCTCTCACAATCCAGGATTACTGGCTCCCAACCACTTGCCTGCCTGCCTACCTGATTGACCCTAACCGCTTCTGCCTGCCAGCCTGATCACCCCCTAACCACTACCCTGCCAGCCTGACTGACGCCTACCTGGTCCCCTGCTAGCCAGATTGCCCCCAATTGCCCTTCCCTGCTGGCCTGGTAACCCCTAACTGTGCTTTCCTGCAGGTTTGGTTGCCTCCAACTGCCTTTCCTTCAAGCCTGGCCCCTCCCAACTGCCTTCCCCTGCTGGCCATCTTGTGGTAGCCATCTTGTATCCACATGGGGGCAGCCATTTTTGACCACATGGAAGCAGCCGTTTTCTATGTTGGAATAATGGTCAATCTGCATATTACTCTTTTATTAGATAGAAGGATTACACTGTCACTTGGCACACAGATTGTGTTTAACAACCACTTTTGACTCAAATGGGAAAATTAACTTTCATTTTATTTCTAGTTATAAGATCTTAAAATTTTAGAACTGAAAGGACTCTTAAGTATAATCTAATCCAAGTCACCTCATTTTACAGATGAGGAAGCTGACCCAGAGAAGATTTTGAAAAACCTTCTCAAAAATCAGTTGTTTATAAAAGAATTCAATGTTGAATGTAAAAAAACTTTTTTGAATATATTGATATAATATATACATGAATCATAATGTAATAATGAGGGCTGTCTATAAAATAATTACTTTTCAAATATAGTAAAAATGCTTTGATATTTATCAATTCTTTTTATATTGTTTTATCTGTCATTTTATAATGGTATTATTCATTTGCTACAGTTTCATATTAACATTTCTCTACAAATCATCATCCTCCAAACCACTGATATTCAATAAACTTATTTATTTATTTTTATTTTTTGCTGTATCACTTTATTTTTTCCCCATTTTTTAATTAAGGTATTATATGTGTATATATCTTACCATTGCTCCCCCCACACCCCACTCACATTCATGCCTTCACCCCCCAGCATTTTGTGTCCATTGATTATGCTTATATAAATAAACTTATTGATGCAAAAAAATCAATTAGTGACAAATCTCATTAAGTTACTATCTCCTTTTTAAAAAACAATTTCAGGCTTAAAAAGATTATAAAAGTAGAAAAAAGAATTCCCCTACAAACTTCATCCACATTCCCTAAATTTTTAACACTTAATCGTGTCTATCATTCTTTCTATATTATTATTTCTGCATATATATATTTTTTAAAATATATTTTATTGATTTTTTACAGAGAGGGATAGAGAGTTAGAAACATAGATGAGAAAGAATCATCGATCAACTGCCTCTTGCATACCCCCTACTGGGGATGTGCCCAAAACCAAGGTACATGCCCTTGACAGGAATCAAACCTGGGACCTTTCAGTCTTCAGGTTAACGCTCTATCCACTGAGCCAAACCAGTATTGGCTACATCTATATTTTTAATGATTTATTTGAAAGTGGTAGACATTTTGGTCCTTTAAATATTTCAGGGTATGTTTCCTAAAAACATGAATATTATCTTATATAAAGATAGCACAATGATCAAAATCAGAAAATAGTGATATAGTACTATTATTAAATCTACAAGCCTTATGCAAATTTCTGCAAGTGTTTCATTAATGTCCTTTTTTAAAAATGAAAAAAAAATATTTTTGGTTCAGGATCCAATCTAGGATCATAGGTGTCATAATGCTTATGACAACTTTTTTTTAAAATCTTTATTATTGAAAGTATTACATATGTCCCCTTTTTTCCCTCACCAGTCCCCTCTATCTCCAGCCCACCCCCACTACCCCACCCCAGGCCCTCACTACCCCATTGTCTGTGTCCATGGGTTAAGCATATTTGCATACAAGGTATGACAACTCTTTTAATCTGGAAAAATTTCTATGCATTTCATCTAGAGCAGTTCTTCAGTTTTTCTTTCTTTCATGCTCTTGAGACTTTTAAAAAAATTTTTTTATTGACTTCATAGAGAAAAGGAGAGGGAGAAAGAAATAGACACATCAATGATGAAAGAGAATCATCGATCAGCTGCCTCCTGCTTGCCCCCTACTAGGGACAAAGCCCATTAACCTGGCATGTATTGCTGACCTGGAATTGAACCGTGACCTCCTGGTTCATAGGTCAACATTCAACCACTGAGCCATACCAGCTGGGTGCTTTTGAGACTTTTGAAAAATACAGGTCATTTGTTTTGTAAAATGTCCCCCAATTTGAGTTTGTGAGATATTAACTAATGATTACATTATTTGCATTTTTTGGCAAGAATGCCAAAGAAGTAATGTGTTCTTTCTGATACATCATAACAGAAAGTTCAAACCAGCTATTTGTCCCATTACTAGGGACATTAACTTTGAACACTTGGTTAGGGTGATGTCTACCAGGTTTATCCACTATGAAGTTATTATTTTCTGCTTTGTAATTAAGAATCTTAAGAGAAGATAGCTCAAGAGTATGTATGTAACTATCCTGTTTCTTAAACATATCCCCATAAAGTATTATCTTCTTAAATGTAAGAAAAAGTTACTGCCCATAGATAATTTCAGGTACTTTGCTATTTTCCTTGCGTAAGTCTGCTATATTAAGAATGCTATTTATGGCTTCATTGTAACTAAGCAGCCTCAATTTTTAAAAAAGTATATGCCTGTAGCACTGTACATTGAGGTTACTATTTCATCAATTGTAAAAATTTAATTGCCTAAATTTATTACATGATTAGTGTAGGTGCTAAACAGATATTATTGGTGCTTCCTTGAATGCTATGCTCTGAAATTTATAGGTAATAACCCTAAAACATATTAGGATCATTTTATTTCAAAATGTTTCTTCCTATTTCAGAAAAGAGGCAGTTAGAATTAAACTGGCTCTCAAAATCATAAGTTTTAAACAGAAAGTACCTCAAAGATTACACACACACACACACACACACACACACACACACAGTAAAATATCACATAAAGTGTCCAAAGCATAGTTGATTCTGGCCTTCCCTTTCTCTTTTTTGAGAGTCAAAAACTGAACATGCAATACAACCTAGTATGAACAGCATACGATTGTTAACACACACACCTCTTAATAGTTCAAGTTAAGCTCCTAATATTCTAACAAAGCTGAACCTAGAATTGAGTTAATTTTTACATGACTCCAATTACATGGCACAAAACCCTATGTGCCAGGTAAGAATAGGGCTTAACATTTCCATCTATTGGCAGGTGAGAACTTAGGTTAAGAAATTCACCTATTATAGGATCACCCACTAAGTCAGACACACATAGATGCAATTCACAGGAGCAGTTCTCACCTAAATGAAAGCAAAGTATTCCTCCTTACCCAAATCTAATTGGCCCCTGAAATTTGGGTTAAGTGTTAAGAGTGTGGCTATCACATAGCATAGCTCCAAAATTTTATCTGAATCTATGTAGTTTCAAATAATTACAGATATTTGCTACTACATTTCTCCTGATCCTACTCCACTAATCTAGAAGTGAACTGGAGAAATTGATTATCCTCCTGAATTAATAGGTCTCAGGAGCCCCTTGTCACATACCTTTATACTCAAAGCCACTTCTCTTCCACTATTTGTGTCCCTTCCCAGAGGAAGCCATTGTTACCAGTTTTTGTTCCATCAGAGAGACAATATAATCAACCCTATACTAATTTGCTTTAAACAATCATTTTTTTCCCATTTATATAATAATTTAAAGCTATTTAAAGAAAAATGTCAAACACACAAAAGTAGAGAAAAAAAAATAGTTTCCATTGAAACAAAGGCTTAATTAAAACTGAATCCAGCCCTAGCTGTTTGATTCAGTGGATAGAGCACTGGCCTGTGGATTCAAGTCTTAGGTTCGATTCCAGTCAAGGGCACATGCCCAGGTTGCGGGCTCAGTCACCAGTAGAGGGAATGCAGGAGGCAGTAGTTCTCTCTCATTGATGTTTCTATCTCTCTCGCCATCTCTAAAATCAATTAAAAAAATATATATATTTTTAAATGAGTCCAGCCCTAGCAGGTTTGGCTCTGTGGTCAGAGCATCAGCCCTAGGACTGAAGGGTCGTGGGTTAGATTCTGATCAAGGGCATGTACCTGGGCTTCAGGCTCAATCCCCGGCCCTGGGGGGCATGTGCAGGAGGCAACCAATCGATATGTCTCTCTGTCTCTTCCCTTTCCTTCCACTCTATCTAAATATCAATAGAAAGCCAGGCCAGTGTGCTCAGTGGTTGAGTGGTGACCCATACATGAATCAAGAGGTTACCAATTTGATTCCGAGTCAGGGTACAAGCCTGGGTTGTGGGCTCAATCCCCAGTAGGGCTTGTGCTGGAGGAAACCAATTGATGATTCCCTTATCATTGATGTTTCTATCTCTCTCTCCCTCACCCTTCCTCTCTCTCTAAAAATCAATAGACATATTTAAAAAAAATAAATAAACATTAAAATCAATGGAAAGAATATTCTTGGGTGAAAATTAACAACAACAACAAAAAGAATGAGTCCACAAGGCCCAGTTAGTATAGCTCAGTAGTCTCAGTTCAATTCCCAATTGA